CTCTGCTTTTGCTGATTTCAATGATACAAATTTCGATAGGTTTATCTCTAACAGTTTTCGAGAAAAAAAAATATTTCGGCTTTTGTCATAAGAAACAATGAGTTAGAGAGAGACCTTCCTCAGTTTCCTTACAGATATAAAGTCCTTTTCTTACACATTGCTTCTTATGACAAAAACCGAAATAATTTTTTTTCTCGAAAACTATTAGAGATAAACCTATCGAACTTTATATCATTGAAATCAGAAAAAGCCGAGCTTTCTAATGAGCTAATAATATATAGAGTGTCCTATTGAAAAAAACCAGACTTTGGTCAATATCTCGGAGTTGGGACCAACTAGAAAAAAACTGAGAACGTCACTGAATTCTGCTTGAAAAAGTGCTTCTAGAAAGTTTTTTACGGAAATCAATAATTTTCATAAACAAAAAAGTTATGATGGTTTCACATTATTGTTCAAAATCGAGAATCGCCCTCTAGCGGCTAAACGGTTGAAGATATAAAAATGCGGTTTGCACCAATCAAAATTTCCAGAAATTTGAGCCTCGGAGTGGGGGGTTCATTTTTTTGTATCTTGCTCAGAAATTGATGTTTCCTATTAAAACCATCCAAATTCGGACACCCTGTACAATGTCATATACCTATCTTCAACTGTTTCGGAAATATTGCTAGTTGAAAATCGACTTTTTTGCATCTTTGACAGACTGTAAAACCTGAACGGTTGATTTTACAACAAAATCGATAATACATTTTTATCTAAGTTTTTCATAAACTATCATTTGACACCAACTTTGAAGTTGATTCATGATTAAAAATTTCGGTCAAATTTAATCTCCGGTTTAATTCAAAGTTGGTGTCAAATGATAGTTTATGAAAATCTAAGACAGGAATGTAAAATCGGTTTTTCTCTAAAACTAACAGTCTGTCAAAGTTGCAAAAAAGTCAATATTTAACTGTCAATATTTCCGAAATAGTTGAAGATAGGTATATGACATTATACATGAAATATGTCTACACCATTTCAACCTCAATTTCGGAAAAAGTAATTTTTATTTAGGAAAATGTAAAGTCATTTTCGGAAAAAGTCAAATCAATTTCAGAAAAAGTAAATTCAAATTCGGAAAAAGTAAATTCAAATTCGGAAAAAGTGAGTTCAAATTCGGAAAAAATACATTTAATTACGGAGAAAGTAATGTTATTTTTTATAGACGAATTTGAATCGATTGAGTCATTTATCTATTTAGAAAATCAAAAAATTTGTCCATATTTCTCATAGAGACCCGATTTTTAAACAGACCTACAAAATAATATACATAGAACCAATTGTACATATGTACATAGAATTTTCCACAGAATCCAGAAATGTCATAATATACAGGGGGCACCATTTAAAAAAATAAAATAAAGTTAATACCAGCGAAGCTATTTTTGAGACACCCTGTATGATAAAAATATATCGGAAATTTCAAACAAAAAAACAAGATTGACGTGTCTGAGCGATTTTTCCAAAATTCTACCGTTTTCAAAATAATGAATTTATGCGGGACTTTATGAACTCACTGTATATCAGTGTGAGATGGCATAGGTACATTTTTTTTTTCGGTTACAGAAAAAGTTATTTTTTTTTTTAAGTTATATTCCAAACAGTTGATGTCACGTGTGAAAGAAGAATTAAAACAATGCACTGAACTGTTCGTGTTCTTTAACATAATTTTTTTCTCAAACAAATGAGAGATCAAACAAACAAACCCCTAAATGCATAAATATTCAAATTTTCGTATTTTGTTGCAACTCGGACTTCGAGTCTTGCCATGAAAGGGTACTATTCGAACACCATTTCCAACCTCCACGCAAAATCCCATTGACTCAAACCCTGTCGAAATACGAAAAACTACCCTTAACAAGCAAAAATGCAGAAAAATTCAGATTTCCGTATTTTTTCCAACTCGGAGTTCAAGTCTCGCTATGAAATTAATTAGGTACTATTCTAACACCATTTCCAACCCCTATGCAAAATCCCATTTACTCAAACCCTGTCGAAATATGAAAAACTACCATTAACAAGTAAAAATGCATTAATATTCAGATTTTTATATTTTTTCCCAACTCGAACTTCGAGTCTTGCCATGAAATTAATAGGGTACTATTCTAACACCCTTTCCAACCCCCATGCAAAATCCCATTGACTCAAACCCCGTCGAAATATGAAAAACTACCCTTGACAAGTAGAAATGCATAAATAATATTAATTTCATGGCAAGACTCGAGGTCCGAGTCGGAAAAAATACGAAAATCTTAATATTTATGCATTTTTACCTTCTAAGGGTACTCTTCCATATTTCGATGGGGTTTGAGTCAATGAGATTCTGCATGGGGTTTGGAAATGGTATTAGTTAGAATAGTACCCTATTAATTTCATGTCAAGCCTCGAAGTCCGAGTTGGAAAAACATATACGAAAATCTGAATATTCCATTTTTACTTGTCAAGCGTAGTTTTTCATATTTCGACGGGGTTTGAGTCAATGGGAATTTGCATGGGAGTTGAAAATGGTGTTGGAATAGTACCCTGATAATTTCATGGTAAGCCTCGAAGTCCGAGCTAGAAAAAAATACGAAAATCTTAATATTTATGTATTTTTACCTTCTAAGGGTCCTTTTCCATAATTCGACAGGGTTTGAGTCAATGCGATTTTGCCTGGAGGTTGGAAATGGTGTTAGAATAGTACCTACCCTAATAATTTCATGGCAAGACTCGCCATGTTAAGGGTAGTTTTTCATATCTTGACGGGGTTTCAGTCAATGGGATTTTGCATAGGGATTGACAAAGATGTTGAAATAGTGCTCTATAAATTTCATGACTAGACTCGATGTTTAAGTATGATTTATTGAATTTATTTTGAATTTAAAGAAAAAATGTTCGCCAATGATCGTTCAGGTGTTCTCGTCAAATTGGCTGTCAATTTTTGACTGCTAACTTCACACCGGTCATTCAAATGGACATCAGTCTCACAGAAACCTTTGAGGACATTCAAATATGTCTTTCTATAATGGTATTATTCCAATTTATTTCTGAAGGATTTAGTTAGTTGTTTCTTAATTTTGGGAAGAAATACTCAAGCAAAACTTTTTTTTTGATTGGTCCCTAATTCGAAGTCTCAAGTCTCGTTCGCATTTTGGAGTCACCTAAATTAGAAATCTAAGAAATCTCAATCTCTGACTTAAAAATAATACTCTTATTGATTGTTCAGAATAATCAATTGCAATTTCTTCATCGGTCCAAAATCCTAGGTACTTTTGGAGTATTTTTCCCAGTTCTAAATGAACTCAAAAATGAGTTTTTCTTTAGCGGTCCAGTAAACACAGCTACATAAAGTTAAGGTAGAAATTTACGTAATTACTTTACCTAATTACATAATTTCTAAATTTTGTTCAAGTCACAATAAGGTAAAATTGAACTTTGTCATACTTTAGTAGATGTAAAATTCATATCACAGTGATGTAAACCATATTGTGTAACAAAGTTTTGCATTTTTGGTCATTCGACATTGCCTTACAAAATCGCTCATAACTCAATTAATATCCTACAAATTCTGATGAATATTTATATATTCCTGATCAAAATTAAATGCAATTCAAGATAAAACAAACTTGAATCATTTATCTCAAATAGTTTTCGAGATGTTGAGCCTCAAAGTTGAAACTCTGTCTAAAATTTTGGAAAACTTTCATAGTTAATTATTTCAAAAATGAAGCCCCAGGGCTTGGTGCCCCAAATAACCTTTTTTGAAGCCCCAGGCAATAGAGATCTACCACTGGACGAAATTTCGTAACGATGGCTTTTCTAGTTTCCAAAATGTTGCCCTTGGAAATATTTGAAAATGAAATTTCCCTGCATATCCCTTAGAAAAACTTCAATTTTGATTTTTCTTATTTTTTTAATTTTTGATTTTACCAATCGAAAGAAGGAGTGTGAAGTGGAAAAGCATTTGTGATTTTTCTTTTTCAGGTTTTAGGGCCTGTAATAAATTATAAATGAATTTTGCATTGAAAAATTTTGATCATTGATTGCCTCACAAAATCGCTCATAATTGAATTATTATTCTACAAACTCTGATGCATATTTATATATTCCTAATTAAGATGAAACAAACTTGTATTATTTATCTCAAATAGTTTTCGAGTTGTTGATCCTCAAAGTTGAAACTTTGTCCCAAATTTTGGAAAACCTTTAAAGCCGATTATCTCGAGAATGAAGCCCTAGAGCTCGCTGCTCCAAATAACCTTTTTTGAAGCCGCAATCAAGATCTTCAACTAGACAAAATTTAATGCCGGTAGCTTTTCTAGTTTCTAAAATATGACCCTTCGAATTTCCATATTTTAGTTATGTAAACGTTATATTCAATATTTTAGGTAAATATTACATATTATAAACAGTTACAAACCCCTGAGTTTACATAGTATTTACATAAACTTATCATGGAACTAATGCGGATTGATAGTTGAAAAGTTCTGGACTTTTTTTTGGTTTTCAGATTTAGCTATCATAAAGCACTAAGTCTTCTTAGTCTTCTTCATCAATGGTTCGAAATTCATTCTTCTTCAAGGCTTTTTCAAATAAGGCTTGTTCGAGTGAGTCATTATTTATGTCCAATATTGAAGAAATATAGGAAAAGATTTTTCTCTAAATTGAAATAAACCCTTGTGTCAAGTTGATTTTCAACATTCTATTGATATAATCTCTGATTAACAGTTCGAACGCGTCGACTTTTACTCGCATTCATTTTGTCGATTTCTCAATGCAAAAAGAAAATAAATTTGGCAATGTACCTGAACCTATTCAAATTCAATGTTATAGCGGATGAAAATTTTACTCACGGAACCGCGAGTAATACTAAAATGGTACTTTCACTGTGCATGGGTACCTGTCTATGCATAAGAATACAGATTTTATCTGATGTGTTTGTATAAGCTATGATATAATAGTTTTTTTTATATTTATTGCAGGTTGGACGAGGAACGATTCATGCTTATCAATGTGAGTATATCTTTTTATCAATATGTTATTGTTCATTTTTCGAGCTTTCTAAACTAATTAAAATTTGTTGGCAGACTTTTAGTCCTTGAGGTATAAGTTAGAAAGCAATAAAATAAATTTCTTATGTATGTACCTAGGCTCTATTCAAGTTTATGACTTCAGACGTCTCTTCCTGTACATTTTATACGTGTTCGTGTTTCAAAGACATACATAAATTTAAAGAAGTTTTGAAATGATGTTTAACTTACACATATACATTGCTTGAACTTTTTGAATATTTATCAAATTGTACTTACCTACCTACTTAAAATCAGCAATATATTATTTTTAGCAGAGTTCAATAATTACGAAAATTATCGAAATATGTCATTCATTGTAAAACCATAATGTTGATCATTATTAATGTTATTAATTGTGGTTGTACTACTGAAAAGACAAAAATTCCACGAAGGAATTTTATTTGGCTTGCTGATCTTTTTGCATCAGACATTTTGATCTACAATTTCAAAAAAAAAAAAAACTAGATTGTTTAGCAATATAACCATATTATTAATTGTAACAGACTCGTTTCTTTAATTATTTCATAATGTATAATAGTTATTTGCTAATAATACTATACCTTGCCTTTGGCTTCTGCCCCAGTTTTAAATAAAAACAAAATCAATAAATCGAATATTATTTACTTACATAATAAACAAATTATTCGTAAAACTATGCCTCATTTCATAAAAATCACTTATCATAAAAAAAAACCTTAATAATTTAGCCCACTCATACAAATTTTATCACAAAAATATTGCACAGCACAAAAATAATCCCTATAGTGACGTATGAGGTGTTTCGCTAATGGGACTGCAATGCTCCTTTTCGGCCCTTTCGATGCCCTCAATATCAAAAACGTCGCTGGTTGGTAGAGAGTTTTTACGATCCAGATTTTTATCATTCCCAGCAGCAAAGTCTCCAGTAGTATCATTGCCAGTGTTCAAAACTGATATATTGATACGTTTTTTCTCCTTCATTCTGCCACTTTTTGACAACGATAATCTTCTGTTTAAAACTGGTATCTTATCGTTGTTGTCGTCTTCGTGAGTGTCTTCAGTTTTCTTGATGCTTTTGACGGTTATTTCCTTGGTAGATTTTTCTTTTTTCGCTTTTTTGCCACCGAACAAATTTGAAAAAAAACTCGACATTGTTATGTTTTCTCGCACCTGTACTGTTTGCCTCTAAATCAAACACTATTATAGGTGGATTAGAAAATCGTTGTGCATAAAAACTCGCGATAAGATAATGACGGCAAAACCTTAGATAAGGTTTTATTATAGCTTTTATGAACGGTTCGTAAAAATGGTTTGTAATTGAATTTTTTAGCCTATTGTTGGAAAAAAAAACCCAATTGAGTCATCAGAGAGGAATTCGTGACAACAGAAAATCAGTTTCACAATGTTCTGCCAATGCAATTCCCAATCTTCACTAGTTTCTAGGACTCTGTTGCAAATTTCATTATATACAGGGTTTTTGGTACATCGATAGGAATATTTCAATGAGTGATAATTGGGGTCATTTGGAAGCTGTTTGAACATATTTACCCTAATGAAAAGTTTCGCCGTTTTTTGAGATATCGCCATTGTATACGCCTTCTCTTCAGCTTTCACATAGTCAAAATTCGTTTTGGTACTGTTTCGTTGTACTTGCCTGCTTTCCATATCCTTATACTCATTCTCCATACCAACAGCACCAGGGCTTTATTTCAGGCTACTAGATGGTATACGGACCAACCACTCAAGGACTCAAACCCTTACAATCCAAAGATGGCAGAAACAAGACTGCTTAATGACAGTTCTTCCATCAATTCTCGTTGTAGTTCAGGAACTACTCTACAGAGAATCGGAAATTATTGATGACATCTTCAATGAAATTCCACAGAAACCAGTACAAGACCTGAGCGAGGTTCCCAGATTAGAGGCAATCAGACAACTAAAGAACAATAAGTCAGCTGGTACACACATAATCAAAACCTAACCTCTAAATGGGTAAGTACCCTTGACTCCTATAAATGTAAAAACGACCGTTAATTCAAAGATACACTTCGATCCAAGGACAGCAAGGTTACCTTCGGAGCGCCTTGTGATAACTGCCAAGAATTTTTTTGTGAAGAATGCTCAGGCCTATCTTACTCTCTGAAATAAGGGCTCTCATACACAAGAAGCGAATTGTCATGCACTACTGTGCGGAGTGCAGGGTTACAGTTAAAAATGCCCTTCATAATGTGCCTGTTATTCAACAGCAACTTAAGTGGATAATATTAGAATTAAAGAGTCTCAAGGAGAAGATGAATGATTCAACATACCCCCGCTTAACCTTAAAAAAATTACCTTAAAAATCAAGTAAAGCAACTGGAAGAAAAAGTTCAGCAAACTGTCTCCCAAACCAAGTTTGAACTCGAGCCAGCAATTCAAGAAATGCAAGAACGTGAACGCAGAGCGCAGAATATTCTTATCTTTGGAGTGGAAGAGTCAAACTCACCTGCGCCTGAACAGACATCAGCCTTTGATCCAGATAAAGCCACTAGCATAATACGGAAAAAAAACGGCATAACTAAACCCGCAAAAGTTGAAATAACCCGAATTGGAAGGTATGTAGCCTTAAAAAAAAAGACCTATACGAGTTACGTTCCCAAACAAGGAAGAAGTCCTGAAGGTGCTTAGACTGAAAAGTAAACTAGAGCAAAGTGTTTATCAAGAACAGTAATCTCAGAGTTAGAAACCAAAAAAACTGAAAGCAAGATAGACTCTCAAACTGTTTGAAGTCTGCTTCTGGTACTACTGTACCAGCTTTGTTCAATTCTACCAGAATTGAACAAAAAGATCCATAAAAGAAATTACTGGGAAGCAAATTATGATGAAATACATAAGTAAGTACATAACTGAATAGTTAGAAGCATGCGCATCCCAAATTGATGTATGTAACACAGCTAATAAGTTTAGTGACAAAAACTATTGAGCTACATGTACCTTTAAAACCTAAGCTTTGGCTCAACAGGGAAGTTTTTAAAGCAAATCAACATAAAACCAAAACTTTGGGGTAAGTACAAAAGGACAAAAACAAACACAGATTATGATCATTACAAACAACAAAATAATATTATAACAAAGAAGATCTCGAATCAGGTTAGGCAAGAATATGAACAGAATTTATTACAAGTTCCTGTTTTTTTACTCTTTTATAAAACATTCCCTAAATTCTCGTCTCCAAAATTTTGTGCTTAGAAACACAAACACGAATCAGACTATTTACGATAAGATTGAAATTGCCAATTGCTTTGCAGACCAGTTCCAGCGAGTCTTTACTCAAGAAGATAATAACCCATTGACTCTTTCACTTAAATTGCGCATCGCTGCAAAGATAAGTAATATACAATTCACCCCAGAAAAGTTACAAGTGGCCATTTCATCTCTAAAGGCGGAGTCTAGTCTTGGTCCTGACGAAATTTCATCCCTCTTTCTGGAAAACTTTTGAAAAGCACTCTGCAGTCCTATAGCTACTATTCTAAATTCTATAATGAATGAAGCTCCTATTCCAGAAATATGGAAATCCTCGATGGTGGTACCAATCTTTGAAAATGGGGATAAACTGGAACCATCAAATTATTCCGAGTTGAGCTCTCGCAGAGTAAACGTGTTTTGCTCTAAGAAAGATCTCAAAGCGATTCTTAGTCTGTCTGATGGTATTGTTGACTAGTGCCAATACCCGATGCTTACGAGAAACCAAGTGTGAAGTTTTAGTTCCAAAGTGAATTTAGTCGTGAAGTAGTGCGCGTTGCGACTTTACCGACCCCAGCCTAATGGGCTCGAGAAACCAGGGTGACATCAGAAGACCAGTCAAGAGGATCCTTGAGAACAAGGGGTATCAAGCAAGGTGGTGGTAGCCTCCAACAAAAATGGCGACCGACTTGACCACCAAGAAATGCTAAATATTACAAACCATCCAGAAGTGATTTCAGTCGGAGATTTAAACACCAAACACCCCGACTGAAATAATCACAGCGCCAACAAAGCCGGAAACATCTCAATCGCATTCTTGACGTAATAGACCTACAGATTATAGCTCCGAACCGGTTGATCCGGAGCTGGGTTACCAGAACACAAGAAAACTCCACTATAGACATTGGTATCACCAGAAACCTAGACGTAACTATCAGAACTATGCTGGAAGCAACATCCGATCATTTTCCAGTCTGTTTCGAAATCGACAAATACAAACAACGCCCCCCAAACCATTCATAAACTACAAACATGCTGACTGGACAGCATACAAAAACACAATTAACCAGGGCAATAGGATTAACAACAGAATCGTAACGACAAACAAAGTGAACCAAAAAATCCGAAGCCTCGTAAATATCATCACGATGGCCAAGGAATAACATGTACCAAAGATAACCATTATCAACAAACAAAAGTTCCCCAAACACATTAAAAGGGAAATACCGCAACGGAACAAGCTGAGGGCAAGAACCCAGAGAACCAGGGACCACTTCGACCGAAATGAATACCTGGAATAATGCGCCCTGGTTAATAGGCCAAGGCACTTAGCGAAATAACAGCCATATTTTAACATAAAATTTAACAGCAAACTATCGATGCAATATTGTTAAGGATCATTTATAGATGCTAAAAACCAAAAATGCAACATCTAATTACTTTTAGGGGATTTTATAAACAATATTTAGTGCAAAAACAGGGCTTTTTTTTGTTTATTTTACTGTATTTCGAAAACTAAGGATCGGATGGTTTTGCTACTATGGCATTAGTTTTAGAGCATTGAACAAGCTTTAAAATGAGCCATCAAACAACCCTGTAGGTCTTTTAGTCTTCGAGAAATGATTTTTTTCCCCCCATAAAAGAGATTTTCGTAAAAAATTCCTAACTTTTTTAATTTTCATGCTAGACAATTAATTTTTTACACATACAAAGTGTAGATGAGGCAGGCTTTATTGAGCCCAAATTTGGGCCCGGTCCGATAAGTCGTTTCGGCATAATGGGGATGTTTCTAAAGCAGTCTGTCGAATTGAGGATAATTTTTTTATATTTCTTTTGAAAACTCCACTGATAAGTCGAAATGCCAAACTATCGATCCTCTAATTCAGATTTTCCATTTAATTTTTTTATCGCAAGTGAAACGGCTTCGAACATGAGTTAAAATTGCCCTAGCCTATAAATCATTTATGTCGTCACACCTAAATGAGGAGTGGAATAAGAGAACGCTAGCATCCCACGATGAAGGCAACATATGGAAACATATGAAAGGCTACAGGAACAGAAATAGCCCACAAAACATTCCCCCACTACGGGTAGGTAACCGACGCAACAGGACAAATAAACACAATCACAGACACACAAGGATAAACCGAGGCGTTTGCAACTAAACTAATCAAAACAAGTAAACTCACAGAACAACTATCAGATGACGCCATCAGAAGGCAGGTCTTCCACACCTTCGGAAATTTTGTGGACAGAGCTCCGGATAATGAAGATAGCCAGATTTATCTCTAAATCAAAACCCTACAAACGACGGAATTGTTTCAAAAGATTGCAAGTTCCTACCAAAGAAAGCCTTTGTACAGCTAACATACATCTACAATGCATGTACAAAGCTCCAGTACTTTCCCAATGATTGGGAGGAAGCCAAAACCATCATGCTCACCAAGCGAGGCAAGGACCAAAACAAACCAGAAAACCACAGACCCATTTCGCTACTGAACTTCCTTGGGAAAGTACTGGAGCGAATCCTGAACAAAAGGACAACCAAGCACCTGGAAAATAACCACATAATTATCGACGAGCAATCCGGATTCAGACAACAGGATTACTGAATTTCAGCTCGCAAGACTGATAGACCACGCCATGGATGTCAATAACAAAAAACAAACCACAACCCTAGCCACACTAGACATGGAGAAAGCATATGACACTGACTGAAGAAAGGCCCTCATACAAAATGATTAACCGAGGATTCAACCCAGCGATAGTGCGAATCACGGAGAGCCAACTTAGAAGCAGAAGATTCAGCGTAAACAACAGAAACGCGAAATCTGGCACAAAATTGATCACAGAGGGCCTACCCCAAGGCAGTGTCATATTCCCCACCCTCTTCAATATCTACATAAACGACATACCGAAGAGACCGAATACCAACCTCGCCCTGTATTCTGACGACATAGTTGTGTT